GGCCAGGTTTGAACCTGCCACCCTCAGTGTATGTGGCTGGCGTGGTAACCACTGTGCTTTGGGTGCCGACCCTATTTTTCTATATTCTTAAAAATAAATTTTAATGAAAAGACAAAATTAAGTCTTACACTGAAATTGTATTTCAAAATAAATTTTAAAAGTTCAGTCATCATAGAAGTTGATTTCATTAGATATTATCTTTTCTAAATGCAATATAAGGTTTTTAAAATGTGATTCATGGTCCTTTAAAGAACATTAAAAAGAACCCATGCTTGGTTTTAAGTAGCGGAAGGAGATATGTCACTCTTTATGTAATAAACTAAAGCACAATTCTTTACCATTGTGAAGAAGTCCCGAACTCTTCTTTTCAAACAGTTTTTGTTTCATTACTTTTGTCACTAAAAGAAAAAAATCCCACATTAAGAATTAACATGGAATATGAATAATTTCTCATTACTTGGAAGAAATAACTTTATGACAAAAATTCAAAGTAATACACATTTACAGGTATCAAATATAAAACACAATCCCTTATATCTTATTTTTAAGATGAGCACTACATAAGAAAAGTCTACTACCAGTTTCCATATATTCTTTTCGTTCACGTTCAAGAGATATCCCCAAAATAACATGCCCTGGTAAAAGATAAGTGGCTTCTTATTTAAAGAAGGCCACAGTATTGCAATGTATTTATTACGTAGCCAGTAGTGGCATATCTAAAGATGTCTATCAAATTTAAATTCGACAAGAATTAATAGGTTTGTTTATCTTCAAAATTGCGGTCATTGAAAATTCATAAATTCCTCTTACTTAGTTTTTTTGTTTTCTGCATTTCTCTTTGTAAGAAACAGGAGGCGAGGGAGACACCAAGCAGACTTTCGAGCTCTCTGCTGCCCTCCAAGGCCTGAAAGAGAGCAGCCTTGAGTGAGTCAGGAAATTCTCTACACATTAAGATGACTGATAAACCCAGAGAAAGTGCAGTACAGACGGTTTCTTTCATTTGCAAAATTTAACATGTTTGTTAGGACATTTAACTTTTACTGGTAGGTTAACTACTAAAAGCCCTAAAATGCTTAAATAAAGACAATTTATTATTAACTAGAGTAAACATAATCTACAAATGCACTTAAATGTAAAAAGATCAGATATTGCTATTAAAGTAATGTTTCTACAAGAAAACCCTTCCCATGAAGAGTTAAACTATTTCCTGCAAAAGCTCTCCTGGATTGGATTCTCCAATCTTAGTCTTTTTTTTTTTTCTGTTATCCCTTTCAAATAAGGTAGAAGTATAAAAAATTATGTAGGGAAAAAAAGGCAAACCTGTATACTACGTAAATTTTGCATTATTTCCATGATTTCTTCTGATGATTTCTCAACTCTAGATAGCAATATCATGAATCTAGGAATGAAGAAAAAATAATATTTACACCAAGAGTATTTAAACAGAGCAAATCATTTTCAGAGCTTTAATTCTTTTTAAAAGACCTTACATTCAGTTTTCTAATCCTTTCTTCACATTTTTCAAAGTGGTAAAACATATAAATGCTCCTCCTTCATTCTTTCATTCCTTTATATGAATGAAATTATATTATTCATCATATATGATCAACTGTCCTCTCTCTCCAAGTTTCTCTTCTTTTCCCCTCTGCACAGTGAGAACATGGTACACGGCTGCTCTCTTGTTCACCTTGACCTGAGTCTATCATTCAGTATCATGCAATGACTTTTTCTTAAATAAAAAAGTAATTTTTGTGAGTTTAGTATGCCTTAGCGTGAAAAAAGATAATAGAGTAATTTTTAAATCTGAAAGTAAAGAAAGGAAAGGGAAAAACCTCACTTGGAATTCTATCTTCAGAACATATTTCCTGTTAGCATTTTGGAAAAATTCTCCTAGGTTTTTAAAAGGAATTTTATAACCCTATATAAACTTTTAAAATGTAATATAACATCACACACATTTTTTTGGCCACACAGTCTGCATGTCTGTAATTCTGCACAATATTTTATCTAGTAAACCTACCTAACATGATATAACCATTCCTTTATTGTAATTTTAGTTACTTTTCCCATAGCTATACATGATGATCTATGTCAGCAGTGTCTAATAGAAATATAATGCAAGCCACATATGTAATTTAAAATTTTGTAGCAGCCACGTTTAAAGGGAGCAAAAAGGTAAGCACCCAATATCTAAAATATTATCACTTCAACATGTAATCAATATAAAAATTATTGAGATACTCTGAACTTTTTCTTTTCTCTTTTTATTTCAGGTTAATGTGAGGGTACAAACAACCAGGTTACTATGTTAGAATCTGTTGGGTAGAATCCCTCTTGTAGTCGTATCAAAACGTGGAACGTTGGCTGTGTCTGTGGCTCAGTGAATAGGGCGCCGGCCCCATATACCAAGGGTGGCAGGTTCAAACCTGGCCCTGGCTGAACTTCAACAAAAAAAAATAGCTACTCGGGAGGCTGAGGCAAGAGAATTGCCTAAGCCCAGGAGTTGGAGGTTGCTGTGAGATGTGACACCATGGCACTCTACTGAGGGCGATAAAGTAACACTCTATCTCTAAAACTGGGTGTAGGTCTGCTGCCTGCCCTGAACCAATCAACTTTCCAGAAAGTGGGCTTATGTAAGAACTTGGTATCTCATGATAAAGAGCCACATTACCAGAACAGAGTAAGGAGTGATTAAAAAATGCTAATTCCAGCAGGAAGAGAGGCTGGACAGACAAAATCAGACAGTGTATCATGGTGTTAGTTACTCCAGCACAGCGAGGAAATAAGTCTGCCCCCAGACGCGAAGCTCTGCAAACTCCAGCTGCGACTTCACCTCTCTACTCCTGGGTTTCTTCCCCTGTGTGAGGACCGTGATGTCACCTACCTCACCTGGTTGCTGAGAGGAAGATAATGTGCACAATTACTAGCTCTTACTGCCCGTGGCTGCTCACTGTGCTTTGTGAATCTTTAGGGGGACATATCTCCTTTTCTCACATCTATTTGACTATAAAATTATGTTTTAACACCATCTTTAGAGATACCTGTACCAATGTCCTATAGAACAGTTTGGGAGATGTTGTAATGTAACCCATACCGGGCTGTGCAGTCTGAAAGTTAAAAGTTACTCAATCAATCACTTAATGTGGCTGAAGAAACTGCTGTTGTTGTGTAAGACTTTTTTTTTTT